CTTTTTGGGACTGGGATGATGGTGGCAGTCTTCAGGCAGGTGGGAACCATCTCCAGGGTAAGTGAGGTGTTAAAGATGTCTGCCAGCACCTCACAGAGCTGATCAGCACATTCCTTCAACACTTTTCCGGGGATGTTGTCTGGGCCAGTTGCCTTGTGCGGATTAATCCTCCAGAAGGTACTCCTTACTTCTGCTGAGGTCACGCTGAGATGCTCTTCATCGGGTGGTGAGGTGAGTCTGGTGCTGGGTGGTCTGTTCAGGTCTTCAAAGCGTGCATAGAACTTGTTGAGGGCATCAGGCAGAGATGCGTCTTTGGGGCATTGTTCACTCCTTCCTTTATAATCTGTTATGCACTTAATGCCCCTCCACATGCTCCGAGGGTCTTGTGAGATGAATTGACCCTCGATCCTCTTTGCATATGTGCCCTTGGCCCTCTTAATACCAGCAACCAGCTCTTTTCTTGTCCTACTCAGCTCCTCTGAGTTTCCAGACCTGAAGGCAGTGTTCCTGGCTTCCAGCAGGGTACGCACCTCTGCATTCAGCCAAGGTTTTCTGTTTGGGTAGCTTTTAACATTTCTGATAGTGGAGACTGTGTCAGTACATGTACTAATGTAACCCAGTACTGAGGATGTGTATTGGTCAAGATCAAGCGAACCTCCATTTTCAGCAGCTTCTCTGAAAACCTGCCAGTCTGTTCGATCAAAACAATCTCTCAGTATGGGGCCACTGTCCTGGATCCAACATTTAACTTTCTTTTGTACCGGTCTGGAGCGTCTCAGCGGGGGCATGTAAGCAGGAGCCAGGAAGATTGAGATGTGGTCTGACAGTCCTAGGTGGGGGGCGGGGTTCGGCTTTGTATGCATCTTTTACGTTCGTGTAAACACGGTCCAGCGTGCGGTCTCCACGTGTCGGAATCGTCACATGCTGATTAAAGCTTGGGAGACAGTCCTTTAGATTCACGTGGTTAAAGTCTCCGGCTACAACGTAAAGAGCCTCGGGGTGTTTGTTCTGCAGCGAGCTGATGATATCATGAAGCTCCTGCAGTGATTCATTAGCATTAGCGTCCGGAGGAATGTAAACAACTGTGATAAAAGTCACTGTGAACTCTCGGGGTAGATAATGTGGCCGACATTTCACTGTTATTTGCTCCAAAGCCTTCGAGCATGAGCTATTTACAACAGTACAGTTCGTGGACCAACTTTTACTCACGTAAATGCACACTCCGCCCCCCCGTGATTTCCCCGTTAGCTCGCTGCAGCGGTCCGCTCGAAAAAAAAGTCTGTCATCCAGCTGGAAGACTGAGTCCGGCGTTTCACTTGTAATCCACGTTTCTGTGAGGCAAAGCACTGCACACTTCTTCATCTCTTCTGAGGCGCCCGCTCTCAGACGAAGTAAATCCACCTTGTTGTCCAACGAGCGGACGTTCGACAGAAAGAGAGACGGCATGGGGAGTTTACCGGCTTTAGCGTTAGCTCGTAGCCTCACCATAACCCCCGCCCGGCATCCTCTCCTCTTAAGCCGGGAGCAGCGCTTCCTCTTCTGCCCGCTGGAACGCCTCTGCTGCAGCTTCCAGGTAGATGACTTTAAGATCTGCATTCTGCCGAGCGTAGCTTTGAGTTTGTTGCTGATTTCTGCTATATTTCGTGGCAAATCCGCTCCTATTCTCATCAGTTCGGTTCGGCTATAGTTCACACGCATAAATCGCGCGGAGTCAGGCACGGAGTCAATATCAAAACTTCTAAAAACTGGGATGGTACCGGGAGCCTGTGAAGCTGCAACTG